GAGCTTGCGGGGCGCAAGTACTCGGAAGAGCGCAAGCAGAAATTGGCTCGAACTCGCTGGGGGTCAATGGTCGTTCCTATTGAGCTCAAGTCAGACATTTCCAGGGCACCGTTTCATTTTGGGAACAGCCGCACGGAGGAGACGGAGAAGAAGATAAAGGCACGAGGGCAGATCGCCGACTATGCTACGAGGATCATGCAACGCCAGCACCGGCTGTTCTTATTCATGATTGTCATCTGCAAGCGTGAGGCGCGGTTCCTGCGTTGGGATCGATCTGGTGCGATTGTCACAGATGCATTCGATTTCGTGAAGAACCCGGAACCGCTGCACACGTTCTTCTACCGTCTCAGCAAGATGACTCGCGAACAGCACGGGTACGATCCAACTGTGGTGCCGGCTGATGCAGATGAGATCGCGCTGATGGAATCGTACAAAGACAAGCTCCCCCAGGACGAATACCTCCGCAAGTGTCTCAATGATGCTATGGAGCGCGGCTGGCCTATCCAAAAGGTGATGATGCGTCAAGAGGATGTGGTCTCTGTAGAATCCTGGTGCGCCGCTGCGAACAAGGCGGACACGACTGGCTCAACTCCCCCGGACACTTCTCAAGCCTCCTCTGCCTGTGGTGAATCGTCGCCTGGATCTTCCTCCGACGCGGGCGTGTCTGATCCAGGTCCACACGTCTCAAAAGACGCCTGTTTAGCAAGTGCATCTCCGCCACGATGTTTCCTGGTTGGCAAGCCTTGCGCAACCAGTGATTCACCGACAGGGCGCGGGACGAACGGATACGTCGCATACGACCTGGCGACAGGCCGCCTTGTGTTCTTGAAGGGTGCGTGGCGCGCAAGGACCGCCAACTCTGAGATCAAGGTGTACGAAGACCTGTGGAAAGCTGGTGTGCGATGCATTGCGACACCCATCTGTGGTGGCAATGTGGTCGGGAGTGATGGTGAAGTGCAGCAAACGGTGACTCAAAAGTACCTGACCGATATTCCTGTCCGTATCCATTGTCGCCTAGTCGTGGAGGAGATAGGTCGCCCTCTCGAAGACTATGAAGGTGGTGAAGACCTCGTGGGAGCCCTCTTGTGTGCTCTGATTGGTAGGCACTTTCTGTTTACCTGACTTACCGAACAAGCTGCTTATTCTTCTATTGTAGCCCACCAAGACGCATGGGAAAAGGCTCGCGTTTTACACCGGGATATCAGTGCAAAGAACATCTTGCTGCATATCGATTCGAAAACGGCTTCTGACGGCTCCAATACAATTGCATTCCTCAACGACTGGGACCTGTGCAGATATGAAAAGGAACTGGGGTCTGCTACCCAATATGGTCGCTCGGTACGTGTAATAAGCGGTATGTCTACGTATCTGGATATTGACCGACGCACCACAGGGCACATGGCAATTTATGTCTGCATTGCTTCTCAAATTCCCAGGTCTCACTCCTCACAGGGTTTCTGATGATCTTGAATCGTTTGTGCACGTCCTCAACTGGTTCTGTCTTCGCTTTCATCGCCACGACCATCCCACGGCGGCCCTCCAACAGCGAGTGTTGTCGCTTTATGACGTGAGCGAAAAGGACAAGACGAGCAAGGAATCCATCGGGGGCGCTACAAAATTGAATCTCATGAATTCTGGAGTTCCAGCGGCATCTCTAGATGAGGACGGGCCATTGAAGACTCTGCTTGAGGAACTCGCAGTGTTGTGCAAACGGCACTACTCTGGGATCGACACCAAGGCACTGCAAGCCAAGTTCAGTGGTAGACCGTCAAAGAAAACATTGAGAGTGGCATCAAAGCGGCTCGTTATTCCCGGCGTTGTTCAACCCACGCACGATGGAGTAGCGTGCGCTTTGCCCAGCGGCCAAGATGTGCCTCAGAGACAAGAATCAGAGGTGTTCTCCAGCCATACATTGGTCGTGATAGCTTTTGCCGATGCACTCCAAGAAGATGCGTGGGCTGATGACAAGACCGACGATCAATTCGCCAACTTCAAGGTCGGGACTACCAAGGGCCAGTCCACCCTCTCAACCGGGACAAGCTCGCATTCTGGCTCGAAACGGAAACCAGAGGAAACAGAAGACATCGCAGAAACTTCAAGCGCGAAGAAATTCC